GCACTGGGGAAGGGTCAGAGGTCAGGGGTCCTGGTGTGAATACCTCGAGGGGAAATGGCAGTCTTGGCCAAGCACAGCTTGGTGAGGCCAGTGGGGAAGCAGAGGAGCTGCTGGCTTAGACTGAGGAAACCTGGGAAATGGAGAGAGAATGAACCAATGAGAGGCCGGCAGTGGGAGTAGGTGGTATAGAATAAGGTGAAGGATTGAGTGGGATACAGGCCTGGGGTTGAGGATGGAGGTGCTGGGGCAGGGGTTGCCATGAGGCTTGAGAGCCTTTGTTGAGACCTAGGTTGGGCTCTGGGCTAGGACAAGGGTCTGCATTGCAGTGGGGTTAGGATTCAGGGCTGGGGCTCACCCTTGTCTTCGATGGGGTTGTGGGACAGAGTGAGGGCATGCAGCACACAGCTCCCGTTCTCCCCAAACACCCCGGCCAGCTTCTGGACAAAGTCCCTTCAGGGAATGGGAGGAAGGATTTGTCCTGAGCCAAAGCCCCAAGACCCAGCCCCTGGGCTTCCCCTCCTTCTCTACCTGCCTGCCTGGCTGGGGCTGCAATGGTCAGGGGTCCCCACAGCAGGGGAGCAGCTCAGGGACTGCCAGGGACCTTGTCACCTCTCCGGAGTACCTGGGGGTGTTCCACACCTTAGGAAGTTGTGCTGAGACAAAGCCCAGCTTTGGGTTCTCACATCTGGAGCAGCCCCACCCCCTGCTTGGTAGTTGATGGAAAGAGGGGATGGGACATGGAGTGTACTGGAGAAAGGCCGTGGAGCTGGGGTATCAGGAGGCTGAGGTCTGAGTCCCAGCATGACCACTGGATTGCTTTGTGTCCTTTTTGGACCTCAGCCTCCTTTCTGTAAATGCACTGGATGAAACAGTCCAGGGACCTATATTATGCTCTGAGGTTTTGGGACCCTAAGACTACATGAAGGGGGCACCACTGCCTACAGAGGAGGCTGGCCTCACGTCTTAAGCCCGGCATTGTCCAGCACCAGCTCTTCAAGGCTCCCCGACTTGCTCAAGGTATGTAGCACCTGTTCTAGCACTTCTGAGCCCTAAGGACAGAAGGGTCCTGTGATCAGAAGCCAAAGAGGACACTGCTCTACCCTCCCCAAGCCCCTCCTAGTTCTTACCAGCCGCAGGTCTTTGCAGTAGAGTTTGGTGAACCACTGGTTGTAGGCTAGGGCTGCCACCATTAGGGCCAGGTCTCTGTGAAGATATTGAAGAGAACAGGAAGTGGTAAGCAGGTGGCTGGGGCAGGAAAGAAGAGATCAGGGATGGGGTGGTTGTGCTGGGGAAAGCTGGATGGGGAGATGGCAGTGGGGTAGAAAGGGAGTTGAGGAGACAGAGCAGGGGTTGTGGGTAGGTCCAGAAGGGGAATCCTGGGAAGAGCCAGTGTTCATCTGATGCTGGGAATTTAGGGGCTGAGTCTCTGCCCTCTATGCTTACCGGCTCTCCAAGTGGCTGAAATCCAAAAGATTGAACTCGCGGTTATCCTCAGCATGGTAGATGGTGTCCACATCCTTAGAGAGGTGGAACTGGCTCACATCTGCTCTCCAGCCCCTCCTCTGTCCCCTCCCTCTGGGTCCCACATGCTCCCTGCCAGGCACCCTGTTCAACGCACCCATTGCACCTCCTCACGGCAGTGTAGCCCATTGTAGTCACACAGGGCCGCATAAGTCTCAGAGAAGCCACCTGTGGAGCAAGAAAATCTTGCTTCCTTGTTCAAGGAATGTTCAAGGTCATGGTATGTGCTAGTGTCTTAGGTCCTTGATGCACCATGAACCCCTTGAGGTCTAGGAGTGGTGGAATCCTCAGCACAGGCAAAGGCCCCTCAGGGAAAATCCCATGCACATGGACAGTGCTGTCTAAGTCCCACCTCCCTCATGCCTGCCCCTGCTCACCACACACACTGTGAGTGGTAGATGTGGAAGTTCAGAGTTGGGGGATGTATCTCGGGGCCCCTCTGGGGTGTCTGCGTTTCCACGGCGGATCAAACACCTGGAAGAAGAACAAATCATCCCACAGAGGGCCAGAAAGACACTTTCAATTTTTTCCCCCATTATTCCCTGGAGACCCAGAGGGTCTTCAGGAAAGAGCAGGAGCAGGAGGAGGCACATGAGCACTCTTTTTCTTCTAGTCCTAGGAGATCAGGTCCAGGGGAAGAAGTCTTCTTGTCACCTAATGCTTTGGGAGACCCCTGTTTGCCACTTACCCAGGGCCAGGGCAGACCTTGGAGAGGGCAGAGCTCACATGTCGTGTCACCTGGTCCACACTCTCAGCTGATGGCAGCCTCATGCTCACCATGCCACGCTCTGTCTCCACCAGGATCTGGGGGAGAGGGAATGGCACAGCCTTGGATATGGACACCATCCTCTAGCTGGCCCAATGGCGGCCAAGGTCCTGATACTCACCTGGTTCTGACTGAGTGTGTTGAAGGCACGGATCTCCAAGACATTGAAGGAGCTCTCCACCTAGAGGGATGGAGATGCTCAGTTCCTGGTAAGGGCAAAGGCCTAGTGCCAGGCGTGGGAGGGAGCAGACAAGGTGTTCTCCCACTCCTCAGTCCAACTCACCTTGGCAGGGACTTTAAGGGGGAAGAGATGGAGGCGCCAGGAGGTCAGAGCCTGCAGAAAAGAATGTGAGAAGCTCATCGCAGCTGCCTAGGCCCTGGTGCTTTGTCCTCCTTTAGTCCCCTCAGGTCTGCTCTCAAGAGTACCCCTTCTCTTTCTTGCCCTACCATCAGCTCCTGGACACCAACTCAGTTCAGTCCTGTCCCTTTCCCTAGGCTGTCTTCTCAGTCATTCCCTCTCCCCCTGTCTCTCCTGCCCACCTCCCTAGAATCCAGCTGCCCTCACCACCTCCTCCTTTCTGCCAAGACCAGTGCTCTTACTAGTACTCGGTCTTCAAACTTCTTGGGTTTTGTCTCCAGCTTCACACGATGTTGTTGGAGCACAGCCCCTTGGCTCAGGCACCTCCGAATGCTATCTGCAAGTGGGAAGGTCCCTGCTCAGAGCTCCCCTTACTCTGGCCACCCCTATCTCCAGGGTTTTCCAGACAGAGGAAGGGGCAGGCCAGAGGAGAGAGAATAGAGGGACAAAGAAGTACAGAAGAAAGACTTTTCCTTCTTTGGTGACTTTGCTATTAGAGAGTGTGTAGTGTGTGGAGAAAACTCTGGCTCCTGATGTCCCTGAGTCAGGGGACACTTGCTGAGTGACACTCTCTGTGGGATGGTGTGTCTTATAATTTTGAAGGTGTGAAGGATTTTTCCAATTCATGAACTACAGCAGCCGTCAACACATACACAGTGAGTCACTGTGTGGGGTGTGGGGGTGTCTCTTGACTATCATATACTAGGTGGTCTGGGTATGAGAGCCAGTCTTTACTACAGGTGCATGCATGCCTTCTCACGATGTCAAGGAGCCCAAGTGTGACTTCTGACAATGCCAGGGAGCCTGAGTGTGGCATTGGTGGAGATGGAGAAGTGTGACTGAGGATGCTGGCTTGCAGTTGTGAAAGGTGCACAGCACCAGACAGTTCCTAGGCGGTGGTGGTGGAGGGATTTATTGTTTAAATGAGCCCCATACCCCTGTGCTGGCAGAAGCATCTAATACCCCCACAGTATTGTGTGAGTGCTTGCGTGTGGTGGGGGTGCAGTTTTTGTAAAGATGTGTGTATACACATTTCATGATTGCATTCCTCTGTGTGTGTAGGTGTGGGAAATTGCCAGAGTGGAGCATGACTCTGAGTATCCTTGAGAGTCCTGCTCTCTGCGTAGGCTAGCCTGTGCTCCTGCCTCTGGGTGACAGTGCTAGGGGGGCCAGGCCTTGGTTGGGCTGAGTCTGAAACCTCACAAGCAGGAGAGGCCTTGAGGTTTGGGTGGTGGGTAGTGAGAAGGGGGTAAGGCTGGGATAGGTGAGCTGCAGAGATCCTGCTCTTGGTTTTAGCTTCAGTTCAGGGCCTCTCCCCTGACCCCCCCTTCTTTGCCCCACTGGCTTGGGCGCTGCCTGGCTCCTAGGAGGCTCTCCAGGACCAGTTCCGGGGCGGGGCCGAGAGGAGGAAGGGTGTTGAGATGGGCGACGGTCAGGACCAGGGGCAGCTCCCATCGCCTGGTGGGGCGGGTCTGGCTCCGCCCGGCGGGGGTGGGAGAAAGCAGGGACGCTTAGAAGGGGAGACTGGACGCCTCGCCAAGGGGTAGGTCAGGAACGCTGAAAGTCAGTCCCAGGGAGTGCAAGGGAGCTGCACCTGTCACCGAAAAGCGGGACGGGCGGCTCCAGGACAGGAAGGTCCTGATAGGGTGAGGCGAGGAGGGCAGAGGAGGATGCTCCAGGGCCAGCGATGCCCGAGCTGGGATGCAGGGGCAGGGTCCGCCTTGGAGTAAGGATGCATGAGGGGGCGGGAGGCGCCGGCTTGGGGTGTACCGCGCGGGCAGACAAGCACTGGGTCTGGGATGCGCAGGGACTGGGCGTCCCGTAGACCAAGGCAACCTCATACCTTGCAGCTCGCGGGTGAGCTCCACGCCGGTTTTGGCCATGGCGGCCGCTGCTGCTGCTGCTGCAAAGGAGCCGCCGCCGCCGCCGCGGGAGAGCCGGGGCACATGCTAGTCCCGGCTCCGGCAGGGCCCGGACGCTGAGCGCTGCAGCAGCCGCGGAGCCCGCTCCGGTCAGGGGCGGCTGCGCGAGCGCTCCTCCCCCCTCCTCCGAGCGCCGGGTCTCCCGCCCGGCCGGGAGAAGTGCCGGACTGAGCATGCGCGCTGCGCTGCCGAGCCGCGTGAGACCCGGCGCGCGCTCGCGCGGACCCCTCCCGCGGGCTGCCTCGTGAGAAGCCCAGCGTGCGTCGCCTGCTGTCCAGGCTCTCTCAGGGGTGGACTGGGGGTAGGCAGCGTTGCAGAACCCCAAATTTTTTTGTTTATGGGCCTGGGTTCCCCTCACCGGGTCATCCTTGCAGGGCCCCTTCCACTCCCCCCACCGCCCACCCGCCGGCTCAGGACCCGTCCAGCTCGTCCTTGCTGACCCTGAGGGAACTCTGAACCAAGGGCGATGCCGGGAGAGGACCTGGCCAGACCTGGGGGAGTTTGTCCTTTCCTGCTCACTTGCTGAGCTTCCGGCATCCCAGTGGCGTCCTTGGCGCCATCCCTGGGGGTGTGAGGCTGAGAGTAGCACCTGGGAATTCCCAAGCCACCTCCTCCCAGATGGCAGCTCAGCAGACACCTCCACCCTTGAGTGTCACGCTCAGGCCCGGGAGACAGGGAGGAGGGATGCGGAGAGCCAGAGGTCCATCCTGTCCAGACTTCTGCACAGTTCCCATACCTAAGCACCCAACCCTGAGAAGCGAACAGGCTGATTCAAAGCAACGCAATTATCTGCATTTTATTCGCACCTCATTTGCAAGTTGTTAATTTCCAACCCTGCTCCTTCAACTACAGGTTCCATTTCTCCCATCTCTCCTCAATTTTCCCAGAGATCCAGGAAAACAAAACAAAACAACTTGTTGGTCTTTGCTGAGGTAGACATAGCTTTCTCAGCAGACTTGCTCTGTTGTTTTCAGGGGAAGACTTTATCCAAGGTCAGAGCAACAGCAGGAATCCTCATCAAACCACACCTTGACCACAGAACTGATTTTGTGGGGGTGAGCAGGATGATAGGCAGAGGTGGAAAAGGCTAGCAGACAAAGCTAGAATGCCTTCCAGGAGGGAGCCAACTTGCACTGGTGGTCCGTCTCCAGGTCCTCAGAGGCGGGATGGGGCTCCTCCCCCCACTACTACTGTCTCCCCAGTGAGGTAGCTGGCATCTTCAGAGCACATGAAAGACACGATGCCTGCACACTCCTCTGGCTTGCCTATCCTGGGGAACAGGGCAAACAAGAAAAGGAGTAAAAATCGAACAGGCCAGGCACCCTCACCTGGCTCACAGCAAATGGAATTTGCTTAACCAAGAATTATCAGATGATTTTTCAGGGCCAGAGTATAGATTTCTACATATTAAAAAGGGTTGTCATGATTATAAGATAGTATAAGCATAAACACTGTACTCTGTAAAAACCATTATAGTAAGCTCACCATAGTGAATTTATTAACATGCACTTTTAAAGCTCAGTCAAAAAATAAATCAATTAAAAAACCCAAATTTAAAATTCTCACACACACATCACACAGCTCATTGCGCAGTAGAAAAGCAACCAGTCAGTGCAGCATTCTCATCAGTTGTGTTGAAATTGTTGTGTGATACGCTGTTTTCCTGCCTTTAAAATATGACGCTCCAAAACCAAGTGAATGTGGTCAACTGAGGCCATCAAGTGGAAATTTGGGATTTGTTGAAAGGTGGCATGTCTTTAGCAGAAGTTGGGTGGAATTATTGGAAAAAATGAATCAAGGATTCACAGTACAATACTGAATTCTATGCATCCTGAGCATTTGTGGTTTTTCCACAATAGAAGTCTCTTTGGAACCAGACACCTGCTGATACCAAGTGTCTTACTGTATGCATTATATTCAAACATGAAGACACTGTGTTTTTTATAGAGCTCAGGACACCAGAATCCAAAGTCACATTGATAAAATGGTGATTATTTCATACTTCACAAGAAAGTTTCACATGTGTACATACTACTTCAGTATCTGGGAGTCTGTATGACAGTTAGTGGTAAGTTTAAGTGATTCCATTTGTAAGCATTTAATTTACAGATGACTTTTTTAGTAATCTTTTTTTTGTCCCTTAAGGTCAGGTTCATTTTGTAAGAACATGCTACTTCTCACTGTTTGTATTAATGATTCCATTAAACTGACAGAATGCTCTAGAGTTGAGGAGAGTGAGAAATTAAGTCTAGAAGGCCTAGCTTAGTGATTCTCCAACCTAGCTGCACATTACAGCCCTTTGGGAGGCTTAACAAAAAGAAGAAAAAGAAAAAGATGTGCAGGTTTCACTGTGGAGAAGAATCTCTGGGAGTGAGGCCTGAGTAAGGGCAGTTTAAAAAGTTCCCTAGAGAACAGGTACTAGAGAAAAGGTTAGATCAAAAAGAATTAACCTAGAAGGTAACACCCACGCACAGGAAATCAATGTGAGTCAATGCCTGTATAGCTATCCTTATCTCAACCAGCAAAACCCCTTGTTCCTTCCTATTATTGCTTATACTCTCTCTACAACAAAATTAGAGATAAGGGCAAAATAGTTTCTGCTGGGTATTGAGGGGGGGGAGCAGGAGGGGGCGGAGTGGGTGGTAAGGGAGGGGGTGGGGGCAGGGGGGAGAAATGAACCAAGCCTTGTATGCACATATGAATAATAAAAGAAAAAAAAAAAAGTTCCCTAGAACAGGCTGGTTATCCAGTGGCTCATGCCTGTAATCCTAGCTACATGGGAGGCTGAGATTGGGAGGACTGCAGTTTGAGGCCAGCGCAGGCAAATAGTTTGAAAGGCCCTATTTCCAAAATAACCAAAGCAAAATGGACTGGAGGTGTGGCTCAAGTGGTAGAGCGCCTGCTTTGCAAGCACAAAGTCTTGAGTTTAAACCCCGGTCTCACCAAAAAAAAAAAAAGCTTCCCAGATGATTCGCCTGTGCCTCCAAGAATGATGAATGGAGCTGGGGGCTCTAGGATGAAAATATCCTGACTTATTAATGAGTTGTGAACTAGGTTTGCAGCTCATACCTGACATCAGAATGACTTTGGGAGGGCTTGAGGGAGCCTGGGATGTTTGTACTAGTAAAGAGGTAGGCATTGCTGGCATTTGTCCTTGGGGGGCTAAGATGGAGAAACTAAAGGCAAGAGTGCTCAGAAGCTAAAAGGTGGAGAGAGGCCTAGAACTTAAGAGGAAAGGGAGCCCCACAAAGACATCTGAATAGTTCAACCAGCCATTAGAGAAGAGAGCAATTTCCTTAGGCAAAGGAGTTTGTCAAGCTCTTCATTCCTTTGACACCTCTGCTTTCTGCAATGGAGGCATCACTACAGCCCACTGTAATGACGGTGTTTATGAACTTGTGGAGTCTGAGAGGCAGTGAACGCATGCCTGTGTTATCTGTGGGACTGAGCAGTCAGCTGTGGGCTGTGTTAGGGAGGAGACATTTCCATCGTTACCCTTCCTAATCCTCCCGTGACAGCTTACCTTCTAATATGCATGATTTCTTTTATGTGCTCCTCTTTTGCCTTGTCCATCCACAACTGCAGGAAGAAGGGAAATCTTATGTTCAATAAGAGGAAACTGAGAAACAGCCAGGGGAGGAAACTGTGTGACCCCCACATCAGTTAAGAAGAAGGATGGAGAGACTCCCCCTTTCATTTCCTGTTGCTTCTTGGCTCCCCAGATATCCTCACTGTTCCCCTATTTCATTCTTTTTAGGTCCTAGTGAGGCATGTTGCTTGGTCTCCCTAATTCTCATCCACTTCAAGGAGTGCACAGTATGAGTAGAATCTGAATTCCTATCTCTACCCTACACCTCAGGGAAGAAGTATGTGGGAGTCTAGTGTGAGGAGGGTGGCTGAGATGGAGAGGAACATAGATAAGCCCAGGGAAGCAGGCACAGAAATGGGTGTGAGCACAAGACTCAAGTACTGGGTTTCCCTGTCCAAAAAGGGGGTGCAGGGCTATGCTTCCTTACTAGAGTGCTGAAATTAGTCTTGATGAGTCCGGGTGCCAGGCAGTTCACTCTAATGTTCTTTGAGGCCAGCTCCAGAGCCATGTTCTTGGTAAGGCCCAGCAAGGCTGTTTTACTCACATTGTAAGGGCTCAGGCCCTGAGGAAAAAAGAGAATGGTTAGTTTCTTAGTTTCCAGGTCATTCTTAGGTCTTCCTAAATGTCAAGGGTAGGGGTCAAGAGAGCATTTCCTAGAAAGGAGGGTCACAGCTAGGAAATTATTTGATTTCCTTCCCTAGGTGAGGGTTTGTGGAGGCAAGGAATTTTGTGGGAAGGGACTTGGTGGTGTGATTCCAAAAGTACACACATACTTCTTTGGGCAACTAGAGGGGTGCATGTGGGATGGAGGACGGGATGGAAGTGGTAGGCAAAGGGGTTCTTACAGGAAGTGGATTGAAGGCTCCTATGGAAGCCACAATCACCACTGAGCCACCTCTGGAAGAAAAAGAGAGCTGACCCTCTTTCTGGTGAAGACCACTCCTCTCAGCCCATGTGGTGCCCCATCTCCCTCTCCATACCCTCGTTTCTCCATCTCTGGCACTACTGCCTTTGTCATCATGGCTGCGGCCTTCACATTAGTGTTCAGAACCTAAAGTCAAGAGGAGGAAAAGCACATAAGAAAGGTGTGGGGGGTGGGGCACAGTGACAAAGAATTACCGTGGGCCCCCAGGGCTCAGGGACAAGTACCCCTCATCAGCCTATTCAGCTAGATAATGGCACAGGTTCAGGTGAGAAAGAATGGAGCCTGGCTCATCTCTCCTAACTAGCCAAGTATGATTTGGCACAGAATGAGCCTAAACTCTCAGGGCAGCTTAGGATTAGAGCTGGGTGTTCTGTTCTTCCTGGTAGGGACAGCCTGGAATTGGGTCACCTCCTAAATGTGCCCTAGAGTGGGCCATGTTTTTTAGGGAAGTTGTGGCCTGACCCCAGGGCACCTGGGTGGCTCCAGCATTTCTCTAGCTTCTGAGCTTAGGGAGTAGGATATTCTTGGCTCTCCAGGATTGATTATCTCACTGGCCATTTATCAGAAAGTAGGATCATGAGAGAACTTTCTGGGAAAGATGGGGTGTAGACTACAATCAAAGTCCCCACATTCCAAATTTAAAACACATGTATGATCTTTACATTGTTTTAAATACTGTTGGAATATTCCCTGTCCATACCCCTCTGCCAATTTCTTATTCTGAGAAATTTCAATCTTACAAAAAAGTTGAGCTGGAAGTATAGTGAAACTAGTGGGGTGGGATGGTACATAAATTCCAACACGAGGCAGGAGAATCTTGAGTTGAGGCCAGCCTGGGCTACACAATAAGACCTTGCCTCAAAAGAAAAACAAACAGCATTTCAGAGTAATCAAGGATCAATGATTGCATTTAGGTTTGATGAACTGTGATAGTCAAAAATGTATACTAAAAAAATGATTTGGTTAAAAACTGATTTTCATATGAGCTCTATTTAGGCTGAAAGATGCTTTTTTTTTCTTTTTAATTAATTAATTTGTTTGAGGTACTGGGGTTTGAACTCAGGGCCTACACCTTGAGTCACTCCACCAGCCCTTTTTTTGTGTGTTTTCTATTTGCAAGACAGGGTCTCAAGAACTATTTGCCCGGGCTGGCTTTGAGCCTTGATCCTACAGATCTCTGTTTCTGAGTAGCTAACAGGCATGAGCCACTGGTGCCCGGCTGAAAGATGCTTCTTTAAAGAATATCAGAATCAGGAACTAGTTTACTGAAGAACATTTCGGCACTGTGGACTTTATGTGTGTGAAACACTGATAAACAAATTACGCTATTTTTATATCCTTCACTTTACTGTTGAGAAATTGTTGACACCAGAGTTAAAAGGAAAAAGCCATGAGAGATCATAAGAAATTTCTAAGTCATATGGGAATACTAACCTAACTAAACAAAGACAAATATTTTAATTAAATCTTTGTAATTAAAGCAAGTAGGTGGGTGAAGTATATTATGAGTATGACATAATCAGACATGTTCACATAAAAACCAATATTCTAGCACTTGTATTTAGACATCTGGTTCTCATATTTTCTTAATACTGCAGTTAAGAAGAAAAGAGGGCAGGTCTTAGCTTAAGACTGTATGTTATAAACTTTGATATTTCCAGCAGAATTGGTGTTTCACTTAACCAGCAGCTATTTACGTTTCCCAACTAATGAGAAGCATTCTTTTTTTGGCAGCTGAAAAGGGGAACAGTGGGTGTATAAGTTTAAGTGTATTAGTTGTTGGCCTGTTAGCTGCCACATCTCAGCCGGAAATAAAGCAGGATGAAAAGCATGGGAAACACACTGGGAAAGGGAAGCAGAATGTGGCTAGCAGAAAGCAAATGGAGGAAGACAGAACTGGGGAGAAGCAGAAATGAAAGAGAAGAGCAGGACAGAGGAAGCCCCCCCCACTTGCCCTTTACCAGATGTATGTTAGGTGTGCCACACAATCACATTTACATAGCACCTGGCAAAGGCATCCTAAAAGAAGACCAAGTTTGTGTTCAATGTTTATTAAAGCCTGACTCCTGCTGCTTTAATTCCCTCTTACCTTGTCCCACATCTCCTCGGTGACATCCATCAGGTTCCCAAAGAAAGGGTTGACAGCAGCATTGGAGACCAGGATATCAATACCTCCATGAAGGTTCACAGCCTAGAGGAGAAAGGTCGGGGTCAGGGCTGGAAGTAAGTGAGGGAGGTGTATTTGTCAATGTTGGTAAGGAATTTCTTCTTACAAACAGTGGTCAAAATGTCTCTTTCTTGAAATACCTTCCCTCTGAAGCTACCCTAAGCTCTGCTGCTAACCATTTGAGGCTGTCTTCTTTTTTTTGTTTGTTTGTTTCTTTGTCTGTCTTATTTCTTTTGCAGTCTTTCCAGTCTGCCTCTTTTTTTGCTCTTTACACTTTCTCTTTGGGGAGCTCCTTTATTCTCATGCTTTCAGTTCTCACCTCAGAATCTATTTCTAGACTCTCTCCTCTTTTCACACTGAATCCCAGCCCTGTTTCCCCAAATGCTTACTGTTCATTCTCCCTAAATGAATAGCCATATCTCGCCCTGTCCACACTGACCTGAATGGAGAAACCAGTTTAAATAGATCCAGGAAAAGTTACCACCAGGAAGGGCCTTGATCATCCAGCTCAATGTCCTAATGGTGGAGGTGATGAAACTGGAGTCCAGGGAACTTCATCTTTCAAGGTCATATAACTCAGTAATGGCACATTAGGGCAGACTAAGAACAGGAATTCTCATTCAGGGATTTACTAGTTGGTAGTGGCAGAATTAAGGTCCATCTCCTACTTTGTAGCACAGAGGTGGTTCCCAGAAGCCCTCCCAAAGTGAGTGGGATCATTATGAAACTGGCTGCCCAGGTAGTCAGGATGGGAAGACACTAGCCTGGGTTTAAAGCAGTTCCCCATTCAGCTTTGATCATTTTATCTCTCTTTCTTCTTTTTGGCTCAGAGGCAGGGAAGATGCAAGGCAGAAACTGAGATTTAAACCGGGAAAGCCAACAAAGGAGGTATCTCACCTCCTTAAGTTGTAAGTCAGTGGTGAAGGCCTGTGCTAGAGTAACGGATGGCGAAGAGAATCTGCCAACACGGATTTCCAGTACTAAGCCCCCACTGAAACCAGACTTTGCGTTTGCCCAGAACTGGCAATTTTGATGGCTTGAGCAAGTAGCACTAAATGGGCCCTCGATCAACTTTGTGCCTCAGATTTGGCACGTGAGGGGTGTTATTAACAATGCTGAACCATCTGCTAGCTTCTCCTTATAACTAATTATTCTTGCTAACTAGGTGCTAAGCTCAGTTGTTTCTACACTTTAAAGGGAATGCCAGGGCTGTCAACATGTAAATTTAACAAAAATTTAAAGTCACATAATCTTTTAAAACCAGTAGCAATAACTTTCTTGTGCCTTCTGAATTTTGGTGTGTGGCGCCAAGTGTTCTGTGCAAGTGTTGTTGGTGGATTACTAATGAGGAAAGTGCAGGTTTAATTTGGAAAGTGATGTGTGCTGTGCTGTTTGGGACAGGGAGAGAATGGTGAATTGTACCAAAGTCACCTGGAAAGCTGTCCTCTGCTGTCACCCCATCTCCCTCCCCTTCCAGGCCACTCAGCACAGAGAGGAGGAGAAATTTGGGTTTTGATTGAACAGGTTCAGAACCATAAAAGATGAATGGGAAAGGTACCTATGACCACCTTGATGTCCTCTAAGTCTTGCTTGAAATTGTGTGATCATTACAGTAGTCAGGAGTTGTCTAAGCTCTCACAGTTACTATTTTTTTAAAGAAAAAGTAAAATCAAGTAGCAAAGTGGTTAATCTGGTTTCTGCCACAAGGAGTAACTCTCCCCAGGGCTACAGCTTTTCTTATTGCAGGGTAACAGCTGGCAATAAGCAGAACACATTTCAAATTGCTAACAATGATCCTATCATTCTCCAACTCAACATCAGTCATACAGACTCCCTGAAAATTGTTTTTGACCCATCTCTCCTATTTTTCATTTCTTGATATGTGATTGGGAAAAAATTTGGTTGGTTCCCTTTAAATGTCTCTTGGAGAACCCATTCTGGTAGCATTACTACTACTCTAGACCTGGATGATGGCAACAGCTCTTCTTCACTAATGTCCTTGGCTTAGGGTCTTCTGTATTTATCCTTCCTACCATTGCTAAATTACCCTTTCTTAATAGTCACTTTCATATGGCTCAAAGTCTCACATGATTTCTTATTTCCTACACACCTCTAAACTCCTTTGGGAGGCTATGGAAGTCCCTGTTCCCATCCTTCCTATGCAGCCTGTTTCCCACAGCACTCCTGACCGTATGCTTTCTGCCGTAGATGACAGAGTTCCTCATTTCCCTCCAGTCCCTCCTTGGCTGTCTGCTCATTTTGTATGGTCATCTGTTACTCCCACTCCTCAAGGTCTAGCTCAAGCCCCACTTGAGTGGGGTCAGGGCTACAGGACTTGCTTAAATAGACCTGGTGGGGGTCAGAGGATATATTTCAAGTAGGATTTTTGACATTAAATTGTGAGAGGGTATGGGTTTAACTCCTGACACTAGACAAAAAAAGTGGGGGAGGTTGCTGTATTTATTTCAAATGGCTAGTCACTAACTGCTCCAGGCCCCCAAATGGGTCCCTCTACCCTCAGGATCAAGGTCTCAATCTCAGGTTCCATCCAACAGCTTCTGCCAGGCAAGGTGGCTTTCTTGGACCCACAACTGACTCTTTGCAATCTGAACATTTGCCAAAGCGTTTCTTACAAATGGAATCACCTTACTCTGCCCATCTTCCTACCACTGTTTAAGGTTCTTCTCTGCTAAGAAGATTGCCCAAATTATTTCTGCCAATCTTCCAGTCTGTTAGCACAATCCTGTACTTTCCCTTCGTGGCTCCCCACTCCCTTTCACTCTGCAGAATACTGTGCACCCCGATCCTTGAGGGAAAAGGAGCCTCCTCTGTGGACTGATTCAAATTTTCTTGTACAGCTGGAAGGCGAGTGTCAAGTACCAACTCTGACACTGGCTTTCTTTAAGACTGAAGTCCATATGACCACCTAAGGCTTGGTCTATGCTACAGGAGAAGTGCTTGGTAGTCCACAGGCACCCATAAAAGGAAGGGAGCTTGGTAGGTCTGAGTTGAATTGCAGCTCTTTCCCTACAGGCTGTGGGACCTTGGGAAGTGGCTCCTGCTACCTGCGTCCGTCACTGTAAACAGGAATAATAATCCTTGCCTTGCTTGGGTCGTTGTCGGGTTTAGAGAAAACTTGTGTAAGGTTCTGAACACAGTAAATGGCACACAGTAGGTGGTTGAAATATGGTGGGCTGCCTCAGGTAAGTTTCCAGGGACTCTATAAGGCTATAGAACCGGGGGGTTGTTTGTTAGCTCATAGGTGGAGACATCTATTTTGTAATTGTATTTACCCTTCTCATCTGCTCAATTACACTGGAAATTACTAGAGAACCCCAGCATTTTTTGGGGGAAGGGGCTGAGTGGGTGGCAAGGGATGCCTAAAGGATGACAAAAGGTTGAAACATTAGTGAGGTTTTTGATTCTGACTGCGAAGGGATGTCTCTCAGACTTTAGGATATTAACATAATAGAAGGCACACAATAAAAACGTGTGGTGGTCTGGCATGGGTTTTTGGAGTGCATTATTATGTTTTAGTTAATAGTGGATCTCACCAAAGCTGTCTAGGAAATCAGGGATGGGGGCACAGAATGTATCCCTTCTGCCACCTCCTGGCTCCATGCCCTTATCCCTGCAGCTCACCATGGCCACCAGCCGCTCACGGTCCTCAGCTTTCCCCACATGGCACACAGTGCCTGTCACACTCAGTCCCTCCTCTTTCAGCGTGGTCACAGCTCGGTCCACATTCTGCTGCTTGCGGCTACTGATGACCACGTGGGCCCCATCCTGGGCCAGACGCCGGGCAATGGCAAAGCCAATCCTGCCAGCATGGAGAGAGACAATGACTGTCAAATTCTAGCTCTCCCTCTGTATGCCCTCCATGTGTCTCGATTAGGTATAAAATAGGCTTAATGGCTAGCTATTACCATGCAGATGGGCATGCTTAGCTCATTTGATTGTGATCTTGTTCCTCAGCCTTGGTTCCCTGGACCCAACATCACTTCCACAGGCCTACATCCAGTGGGACCGAAGGGAGAGAAATAAGCTGGGTGTGCAGCAGCAGCAGGCTTGTCTGTAGTTTTTTGAGGGACTCACTCTAAGCATCTCCTACACCCAAATATCTCCCTTAATCAGAATACATCATTCTCAAAATTCTATCCTTGTTTTTGTTTTGGGGTGCATGAGAAAGGTTGGCTAAAAATAAAAATGTTTACCTGGGAATAAGGGTTACACATTTTACAGTTGGTGTCTAAGCATCTTTTGTTTGTTTTTGAGGTGCTAAGAATCCAACCCAAGGCCTCATGCATGCTAGGCAAGTTCTCTACCATGGAGCTACATTCCCAGCCCAGCTGGAGTATTTCATGTACATCTGTATTTCAGATTTGTGAGGAGTTGGCATCTAGCAAAAGTTGTCTGGGAATGATAAATAGACTAGATAAGCCTGGTGGGTGAGACACAGGCTGGGAAGGGTAGGCCAACAGTTACTGACCTACACAAAAATCTGGACAGATGGGTGTTATGTCCCATCTAGGTGAGAGTGGGGTCACTCTGGGAGGCTTGTCAGATGCCCCATGGGTCTCTGGAATATTTTCTTAGTGGGTGGAGGCAGCAGGATGGGTTTTGAAACCTGTACTGTTGGATTTCTGGTGTCTGGTCTTCCCAGACTCTAGATGGAGCTGTTGATTGGGGCAGCCCAAAGAAGCCTGGGTCTGCCGGGTGCCACCGAGCTGGCACACTGCTAAAGACAGCAGTGCCACGAGCCGGGCCAGAGGATTCCTGGAGGGGTCGGGTGAGGGGGTTCGTGAGAACTTCAGGCCGACCACGTGGTTCCTTTTTTCTCGGGGTCAGGAGTTTGGCGGGGTACTTGGCCTGAGCACAGGTGCCCAGGAGACAAACGATAGGAGGCCATTACCTGTTTGCGGACGGCTATGGCCTCAGAGACTCCTGCCCCGGCAACTCACCCTTCGGTCGAGGCGGTTACAAGGGCCACCTTGTTCGCGAGCGGGTTTTGGCGAGTCCCAGCGGCGCTGGCCATCCTCACTGACTGCCATGACCGCGCACAGCCTCCTAGCAGCCGTCCCGCCTTCTGCATGGTCAAGGCCTGCGGGCTGGGTTCCACAATGCGGGGGAGCTGAGTGCTCATAAAGGGGTACCAGGAGGCGGGCCGCCCTCCCACCTCGCTGTCGGCCTGCCCCGGGGCGGGCTCAGCACTCGGGAGCCAGCTGTGGCTCCGGGCGCCCCCTGCTGGCGCACGGCCGCCGCGCCCCGCTGCCCACCGCCCTGCCTCTGACTGTGGCACTCCAAGGTCAAACGCGCTCTCCAAGTTCCTGGAGGGTGGTCCCTACCCCTGCAGGAACGCTGCACACTTCCCTGCGTTCCAGCTCCTTACACATCTGCTTGCCCACATTCTTCTTTTTTTTTCTTTCTAGTAGTGGGAGTTGTATGGAGGAGGATTTTCCTTCCCCAAACCTCAAAAAGTCTGGGTCTGCACTGGTTATAAGACCACAAGAGGGCAAACGTTTTGAAACTGCCCGTGGGGGTGGGGGACGTGGTCCTTTCAGAGTCCACCTCATGAAGTAGAGACGCCCAGGAGACAAATGTGAGTGGGGATAGGTGGCCTAGGTCTGGCATTGCCCTTCCCTCTGGCTCAAGTCTGCTCCATCTTCACAGATCCCAAAGGGCAGACCTGGATCATTATGGTAACCAGTGTGCAGGTTAGAGATCCTGACTCCGTTCAAGAGGACATCCCATTTTACAGGGACTGAGTGGTAGCAAGGATGCTAGAGGTCCCCCAACCCATGATGAAAGCACGGAGAACTCAGGAGCACTCAAGTTCTCCCTGATCACTAGATTGCTGGGTCTTAGCCTCCATTCCAGTTCTCTAAATATTTGCTGAATATAAAAGTGCTTTATGAACTGTAAAGTACTAAACACATAGTAATTGTCACCACATAGTAATTATTATTGCTGCCACAGGCCAGATTCTTTATCTGTGAACTGAGGGTGTGGAGTAGGTGATGAATAAAGTCCTCGCCAGCTGTAAATCCTGGGTCCAAGACTTCAGCCTCCATTTCTGCCAAGTGGGTTGAAATGATCTCCCTCTTGGGTTTCTGGGAGAATGAATAAATCTGGATGGCTATGACACACTATAGAAAGGCCCCAACAGACCTGAGCACAGGCGTCTGAAGTGGTTTAACCCAGGGGCTGCCAAATGCCAGGCTGAGAAGCTGGGCTGGCTTGTGGCAATGTTTGAGGCGAAACAAGAAAGATAAAGGCACTATAGTGAGTTTCGTAAAACTAAACATATTTAACTTAACAGATAGTCCTTTATTCTGGAATGTGCTTTTTGCTCTCTCTCTCTCTTTTTTTTTTTTTTTTTTCTGGTGTTAGTCTTTTTCTTTCAGAAAAGATGATGAAAGCAGATGGGTAGGTTTAGGAAAGTGTTGAAATCACCAGTCTGTCAACCTTATGTCAGTCCCTACAATTAGAGGGGAGAGAATCCTGTTCTGGGGATCACTGTTTAATATAATTCATCCTTGCTAAAGGTTCATTTAGTGTTGGTGTGAGCCACTGACACAGAATTTCAGCATTGAGGAGGGGACGAATGCATAGCAAGTGATACAATGTGTGCACTGGATTTATGGTGTATTTCTCAACTGAGAAGTTATAGTTGTGGTACTCAGGACATCCGATGAGATTGGAGGAAAACTGACTCTGATGCCCCTCAGTCTGAGCCTCATGAATTATTGACAGAGGCTGGATAGTGCCTTGTTCTTCTTCCTCCCTCACTGTTGGGAGCTAATGCACTGTGGGAACTCTTCCCAGCTCTCCACCTGCCAGTGGAGGTGGGGAGGTGGGTGCAAACGTGTACAAGAAGACTGTAGCAGGAGTTCTCAGGGCTTGGTTCAGAGCATACCTGATCTCCCTTTACCTGCTCCCCAGGTGGATAGTGAAACCCTGGAGGGAGTGAGGGGGGTGGGATGGTGAGGAAGTCCAGATTTCAACTAGCAAGGGATTCTGGGTAAGGAGAGTTATGTTCTAGGAGCTTGGTAAGCATCACATGGCCCCTCCTCACCTGAGGACGGTTGAATTTGGCTTCCAGCACCATTTCTTTTGAAGAGCACAGGGGACATTAGGGGGAGGGTCTCTGAACAGAAAGGGTAGAAGGAGGGCAAGAAATGTGGGGGTCTCTAGCTTCTGTTCCTCATCAAGTTTGTTTGTTGGGGATGGGAACAGACATCTTTCCAGGGAAATACATGCCTATGTGGGGAACTTTAACAGGTAATGAGATTGTGCTTGTATGGAGATGGTACCATTTCTTGAGGAAATGCCTGTATATTTGCAGACTCCATCTTCTTCAAGGGCTGAGTGGTATGAGAAGAGAATTCACCTGGGATGGAATTTAAGGTGCATTTTGCAGTAGCCACCCTAGACTTGTCATTGAGTCATGCATGATTGACAACAGTCAGGACTGGGTAGCATAGGAGGGCTAATGTGGAGTTCGAACAACCGCAAGCAGTGAAGTAATAAGAATGGTAACAACATCCTTTCTTGAGAACTTACTAAGTACTGTCAAGTTTTAATAAACTTTGTTGGCTATTTCTAATCTAATGAAGTGGGCATTTTTATTTTCATCTGTGAAATTAGACTGAGTCTTGACAATCTGACCCACTACCAATGTTGTGTAGGTACATTTAACTTTTCTAGCATTGTTGGGGTTTTCATAGAAATTAATTTTTAGAAAATAATTTTCTGTGATTTCGAATTTTACTTTCAGGATGAGGTTTTCTGTTTTTGTTTTTTCTTCTGGTGATTAGGATCAAACCCAGGGTTTTGCATATGCTAGGCAAGTGCTTTATCCCTGAACTATATTCCTAGTCCCTGTTTTTGTTTTAATCATTAAAGTATTGATTCATTAAAGTATAATTCATTTATAATTAATTATAAATGTAGCACATCCTCATGATTGTAAAAAGGGTCAGAAACTGATATGCAAAGTATGCTTCTTTTACTGTATGCTCCCCAGATAGTTTTTGGTCTTGTACATCCTTCCAGAAGTTTTCTATACATTTACATGCACTTTTTTCTCTTAAAAGTCTTTCTCGTGCATGGGATGATAGGATACATTACACATTATCCTTCATATTGCTTGATTATTTTCTTCTTTCTTCCTCCCTGATTCTTTCTTTCTTGCCCTTTTTGGTGATTTTTTTTTTTTTTTTGAGATAGGATCTCACAAACTATTTGCCCAGGCTGGTTTTGAACCACGATCCTCCTGATCATGAGTAACTAGGATTACAGGCATGAGCCACCAGTGCCCTGCTTTTCCTGCCTCTTTTCTTTCATTTCTCCTATTATTATTATTATTATTATTATATTATTTTGGTGTTGGTATGTTTGTGGGGCAGGTGCTGTACTGCTTGATCCATTCTCTCCAACCATTTTTCACTTCTTAAAATATATTCTTGGGGAATGTTCTGAGTAGTACATGATAGATCTACTTTATTCTTTTCCTTTTAAAAACAGCTGTACAGTGCCCCATTGTGTGGATCTTCCACACAATGGAATATCAGTAGGAGACTTCCTATTGGTTAACATTTCAGTGTTTTGCTATACATTTCAAACAATAGTACAGTGAACAGCCTTGGAGATATATCTAGATATCTAGATATATAGATTGAGAGAGAGAAAGAGAGAGAGAGAGAGATACAGATATATATTTGTGTGTGTGTTTTGTGCAAATACATTCGTACCCTGGGTCAAATGTTTTAAATTGGTGATATGGTCAAATTACCTTTGAACAGATTTAATTAGTTTTGATGGATTTGTTTTTATAAGGTGAGTTTACCTCCTGCCCTACCTACTTACACATAGTACATATGCATAAGTAAATGGCAGCACAGCCTGGGGCTCTGAGTGTGGTGCCCACCGGGAAGTGCAGTGTGCAGACTGGAGGCCTGATCAGCCACACCCGTGTTTGCCATTGAGAATGCTGGCCCAGCCTTGCCAGATCTTGGATTTTTAAACAGAAGCTAGAAATCTGGGTGTAAATGGGAAATATTTGATTTCTAAATGTTGGCAACTAATTTACTTAAAGACCCCAAAAGCAAAACAGCAAATGGATCTGTAGGAGCCAGAGACTGACACAGTCTCTGCCTATTTAAATGTGATGGGTTATTAATTCTGTGACATATTGCTTTGTCTAGAATTTCATAGCTATATTGTATAGCTTATTCAATTTCCAATTTTTCCTTTTTTCCCTGATTGCCTTATATTTAGGCAGTTGTTTGTGAATATTGTTTAGAAATTACCCAGTCGTGGCTCAGGTCCTTTTCAGGAACTCTGTACAGCAACACATAGAGGCTCTTATAAAACAGGCACGGGTTTCTCTTTCCCTCATGCTGGAGACTGCTCTCTCTGGCTGTATTTGGGAAGGGGTTGTGGGGGAAAGGGGGAGTCTCATGCAGTTTTCCAGTCTGTTTTCAGGTACTAGATGCTTCAGTGCTCTCTGCTGCTGAAACTCCAGGATCATGGTCCCTGTTTGTTTCCATGCGGATGCAGGGAGGAGATGAGAAAGGTCAGACTTGCTCAGCTATCTTCTCCTTTATTTTTCACAATACTGTTGTAGCAATAAATCCACTAAAGACTTGGGGGTAGAGTGAATTACAGTATGGAGGGACAACCTTCCCCCCATAGGACCACTAATATAACTTCTCCCTGGGTTCCTTATGGGCACACCCAAATTTCTAGCCTGCCTTCTGAACTGTGGTTTCCCCTGTCCTCCCTCAGAAATGGCCTCTGTGGCAGACATAGAGATACAGGTAACAGCTCAGGTCCTGGTCCTGGTTCTGGGCAAGACTCAGTGCCCAGCTGGTGGAAGCCTGATGAGCTGTGAGCATCAGCAACTGTTAGCTCTCTTAGGTCCTCTTCAGCTTTTGAAGGGAGGTCACACTCTTCTCAGGGTGGTCCTACTGAGTCACTGAGCAGGGCAGTGTTACAGGGACTTCTCATTTCTGCATAACATGAGATTCTACTAAAGGCCACCTTTGCTTTGGATGCCCCAGGTGGGCTGACATCTGTCAGATGTGCATAGATGTGTATACTTTTCTTCCTGTCTATTCTGCCCTTTCCTCTCACAGTCATTACTCTAAATAA